TATATATATATATATAGATAAAAGATTTTGAATTGGTTCCCAAATATAAAATTTTCTTTTCGTCCGAAAATTCAAACTAATTAAAAAAATAACGGTTATGAGGGGATGCCTATAAATATATGAATGCAGAATGCAATTGGATTCCACCATTCCTCTCTTCCTCACTCCCTGTTTCTCTCCACCACCTCACACAGTCCGCTCGAAGCTGCTTCTTCTCCGGGCATTCCTCTCTGTTCTGCTCTCATACGACCTTCTGCGAGTCTCAAGCCAAAGGTAAGTTCCTCCCTGCAAACTTCCTATCACTACACCTGCAATCAAGTTTCAGCATATGTAGGAGCTATTAGGCTTACATGCCCCTCAATTCCTATGTATTTACTTATCAAAGATGGGCATTCTTCTCCGTCCTGCTCTCAAATGCATGTGCTTCTTCAAAAAGATTTGTAAATTTTAAAAAATAAAGGGACATATTTTTCTTCTCCAGTTTGTACTTGGTAGCATACAAATTAAGTTATGTGAAAACAATGCTAAATTGAACTATCTTTGAAGTTGTATATCTTCATAAATTTCGAAATATGAAAAAAGTAGTTTTATATACCAATTTTTAGAACTTTCATCCATCAATTTTTTATTTTTAATCCTTAACCTAATTATTAACATTTTGATTTTATAAATTACCATTCTTTTATTAAAACTCATCATTTGGAGGGGTGGATTTCACATTACCAAACGATTTTTTTCAAGTATGAATGGCTTCTCTTCTATGTACAATATTTACCCTCTTGCTTATATTTTAAACAACTTAGGTCATGAAATCTAAAGAAACCGTACTGTATTTCATCCTAATATTTAGATATTTTTTTTATTTTTGCCTGAAATAATTCAGAAACCGTACTGTATTTCATCCTAATATTTAGATAATTTTTTTTTTATTTTTGCCTGAAATAATTACATATTTACCACTCCATTTGTATTTCTATGTATCAACATATCATATCTAACACTTAAACTTCAATTTTAATATATATGTTACTTCACTTAGGCATGAATCGATGTATTTGACTTTCTAATATAAAAAATTCTGCTATTTTTACATATTTAAGATTTATGTTTACATATTTAAGATTTACATAATTTATATTTGCTTCGAAGTCTCAAATCCCCGAAGATTTTATCAAAATCCTTACTTATGTATCACCATGGATATATAGATTAATTGGTATATCATTTTTGTAATATAATTTGCATATCAGAGTAATTAAAGCATTAATTATAGAACTGAGTCAAATGTATGTAATTATTTCTATATAGTATGTTGCATTTAAGTTTGATTTCTTACTCCTTTTATTCTTCTTGATTATTCCAAATAATAAATGTGATTGTCCTTCACCTTTAGTATAACCTTTTTGCTTAAATTAAACAACCAAATATGAAAACTCCATTTTTTAATTCAGTCGTTGTAGCTCTAGCCATATAAAACTCATCCATGGAGAGTGAAATTTGGGTGCAACTGTGATTAGATGATACACTAATACTCACAAACAGTCCTACCACCGCGGGCTATGCTTACACGCCAAGGATGACGAGATTTGTTCCTCCACCATTGATGATGCCCTCTGCTCTTACGCAATGACCACATTTCTCTGCTTCCACACCATGAACACAATTGTCCTCTCCTACCCGGCGGCCGATGCATCCTTCAAATTCTTCCTATCCTCGTTCTCACAGTACGTGAATACTTTCTTCTATTCTCTTCTATTGATTTCTACATTCTTACTCTAATCCTCAATTTCTCTCTAATTTTTGTGAGTAACTAACTTTTCAGTGTATGAAGTTCCACCTCGCATTCGCGCAAAGACTTGCAAGCATGACATTTGCAACCGTTGATGCTTTTTTTGATCGTAACAATGCAGTAATTCAACCTCAGCAGGTAATTCATAATTTTTAGAAAAATTTACGTACATACCAAATAATTTATATACATTTATATTTAAATTGTGATTTTTTATTTAAAATATTTTTTTTTATACATGAAATATTGCATTTCACTTAAAAAAGGGTGAAATTTACGCAAGTACCACACAATTTTTATGCATTTATCGTCTAACAACAAAATTTTCATATTTGTATGTATTACTCTTTGTATTATAATAAATAACGTGTTTTATTTTTATAAAGTAATAGTTCTATTTTTATATGGTATTAAAGATTTGAGTATTTTGTATGTAAATGTGAAATTTTAAGTTTTAGATATATAATTACATAAGAATTATATGACATATTTGTAAATGACCCCTCAAAAGTTTGAAATAGTGATATGGTTTTTTTAATGTTAAAGATTTCAGTATTATCTACTTAATAAAATATAAATGTCCCTTCAATATTCAGGCATTTTGATACATACCACTTAAATCGTATGTATTTACATATCTAATAAATAAATTTTATTTTTTACAATTATACCACCCAAATATATAATATCACACAGGAATACCACCATTTTAACTTACATAAGGTGAAACACATATTTTCATCCACAGATAATGCGGTATGTATGTAAAAATTTAATTGAAGATTTAAAGGTGAAACACATATTTTCATCCACAGATAATGCGTTATGTATGTAAAAATTTAATTGAAGATTTCAAATATGTTAATACAAAGGAATTGAGTGGTATGTGTGTAAATCTTTCAAAATTTTAAGTTAGATATGCAAATACATAAAAATTATGTGGTATATATGACTGATATTTTTAATCTTGTCAAATTATTTAGCTAAATTTTGGTTCTTATATATTTTTTATTTAAAATCTAAAGATGCACAGAATCTGAACAGAATAATTGAAGACACATCCTCACATGATTATACATTCGATTTTCTGCTTAGTCATAGAGAATTTTTGACAATAAAAGAATAAATTATTTGCATAGTTTGTCAAGTATATATTAAATTATTAGAACTATTTTTTAATTTAGTCATAATATTTTTTATCATAAAATATTATTTACTTATTTATTTTATCACAGGATGAGAACAATGAGAATGAGGAAATTGTGACGTTGAACTGCAAACATACTTTTCATGGAAACTGCATCAAAAATTTGTTGATCATTAAAATCATTGTGCTAATTATAGAGCATCAGTCATCACAGATGAATATAGTTAGTTTTACATATTTCAAATGTGTTTTAATAAACATTTGAATTGTGTTTCTTCTCATCTAAACTGTGGGTATTTTTGAATCTATAAACTTGTTTTGTTAGTTTTTTTTTTTTGCATAATTTTACAATATTATGCAATTTTATGTGTTTATTTTGTTTATATATTTTGAGCATTAAGATTAAAATTTTGATTATTTTATCTAAAATATTTTTTGTTTACAAAACATATGTACCGCATAATTATTATGTATAAAATTTTTTTATAGATCAATATATGAAATGATATATTTTATTTTTATATAAAATGATTTATTTTATTTTCTTATAGATCAGTAGTGTTATATTTGTATGATGTTAAGAATCTGAGTATTATGCATGTAAACGTGATATTTTAGGTGTTAGATATATAAGTGCATAAGATTTATATGGTATATTTATAGATGTCGACTCAAAAATTAATAATTACATAAAATTTTTCTTGTGTTGCAAAAGATTTATCTTTGGAGTGTTATATATGTA